TTTGCTTGGTTACTTGCTCCACCCTGTCTCTTTTGTCCCATCTCCGATTCATATCTAGAGGCGAATTCTGGCGCAGATTTTTTCTGGGTTATTTCCAACTTCGTTTGTATTGATTGCTACCATCTTGACAATCCTTTTGGTATCAGGTTGGGCTTGAAAAAGCATCGGTTTATCAAAATTTTTGGCAAGTGATTTAATTTAAAGGGACACATTTTTCTCCTTCCCGCTTTGGCAACTATATAAGCCCACCTAGCGCTAAAATGTTGTTGGTTAGGTTCTATTTTTTTGCTTCTATTCTTGGCGCTAGCTGAAGAATTATTTGATACTTTCTTTGTTCGGGAAACTTATAGACAGTGTAGCGAATTTCTAGTAAGTTTGATCACCCACGGAAAGTTTCGTGAAACGCAAGATTTTACAGACAATTAGATTAGATTGTCGGGGAGCTAGCCCATGGCCTGATTCACTGCGACCTTTTCAGATCTATTGTGATGCTCCTTGGTTGTTAGAGCTCATTGTCTAGCTCAACGTGTATACTAACGATCAAGTTGACCATTTCGCTGAGCATCCGGAAGCAATTAGTTGCCTTCATAAGGTTCTATTGGGCCCCTATCGTGGGTCACCTCGCTCGCTGAGTCACCTGGATCACCAATCTATCAATTCGGCTTGCATCCACAAGTTTAAGGATATCTTTATGCATGCTTTCGCTTAGCTCCTTGAGTGCGCTCAGGCAGCTTCCCACCAGTCTTGAGACGACTTGAAATAAGCTAAGCGTTTCAATTGCCGCCTGGCTGTCGGAGAAAATGGCAATGGTTTTATTTGTGACATTCTGCCTGTGTATTTCCCCTATACAGTGTTCGATGACCGCTACTTCTGCCTGGAACACAGTTGCATTATGTCGTCTTTGCTCTGCCTCCGTATACCGGCTTCCACTCCTTCTTGGGTCTTTGAGCCATTTGTTGCCAGATGGCCACAGATGGCTCAAAAACAATAGCCGAATTGGATTAGTTGTGTTCTGATAGGTGAGTCTATAAACCTACTGTGTAGGTAAAGAAGGACTAGCCTAAATGTATTGTTTCTTTTGGAACGCACTGGTTCAAAAAACTTTTTCGGAAATTAGTGTAATTCACTCGAACGTAAGATACACAAATAAATTCAGCAAAAGAACAATTAAAAAACTTTTTGCAATTCTACGAGTAAATCGACTGATTTGTACGACTGCCAGCAGCGAACTAGTAGAACGAACTACTCACGCTAACCAACCGGCTACCGACCAAATTGATATTAATTTCAAGTATTGTATTCAGAAGAAGTGCTAGCACAAGTGGAGATCTAATGGGGTCATTTTTGATGGCGACAACTTGGCAGCCTCCTAAGTATATTTTCACCAAAAAGGACATTCTTATGTGAAATGAACTGTATAAAAAATGCTACAAAAAATTTTCAATACAATAAATACGAATTGTAATAATATTCAAACCACCAAAATTCTAATACCATTACAATACCAATGAAGACAAAAAAGCTATGGGGTCGAGCCTGAATATGTTAAAATTAAGTTAAAATCAATGCAAAGTATAAACTGGATTCGATTCTGGTTTTGTACAAAAAGTTTAAAACAGAAATATTATCTAAAAATAAATTGAATATCCAATTAAAACCAATTTAAAAAAATACTTGTACTATTTTTGGTATTGAGGAAAGCGTCACAAATATCACAGTGATATTCGTTACAAAAATTCAATGATTTCAAAGCATTCCAGAAACACTTCATTGTGAGATTTTCACTGAAGTTTTACAAAAACGCAACACGTGTTTCGCTATACAATAGCTTCTTCAGGCAAGTCTTTACTTTACTTCACTTTACTTTAGTAAATACACGCCTGAAGAAGATACTGTATAGTGTTACGTTTTTGTAAAACAAAAAAATGTGGGAATCTTCCAAAGATGTGTAGATCGTGCGTAGAAGTAACTTCAGACACAAACTGGAAGAAAAAGCCATCTTGAAACAACTACTTTCAAATAAATATTGAATTACATGAAAGAAAACATACTTTCGAAAAAACTACTTTTATATGAACATTGAATTATACAAAAAATACTTTTTCCTATTCAGTTGGTACTCCAAATATTCGATATGGAATCGAATAAGATATCATTTCCAGGATTGCTACACAATATAGTTTGATGCACCATTCCAAGCCACTGGGTAGCAAAACATGTATTTAATAAAACTTATTGCGAAAATTGTATAATCATTATCATTCATTCAATTTTCACCATCATCATGTTTTCATCAAGTAACGGGTCAGTGTATTCATAAGTTATTCTTCAAAATTATTCAAGTGATCAGATTATGTTTCTCCCTAATAACCTTTCGAAGATTTTATAATGGGGATCTATTCTTGAATTTAACGCTGCTAAACTGAATGCACCAGAAATACTGAGAAATCCATTGTATTGGGAAAATGATTTTTGTTGCTATTCCACTTGAGCTATCATTACTATAGTCACTATTAGCAGAACGTTCTCATGAGAAGACTGTGGTAGAAATATTCTCAATGCAATATTGCAAAAACTTGGGTATCTTTTCCATACCAGAAGTTATTTCCTAAACAGCTTTTAATGCTGGATTATGGATTATCACTCACATGTGTGAAGGTTACCAACAAAATATAGTTTGTAGCTTTTTGACTCAATACACTGTAGACGACCCTTTATTCCCAGTGACTGACAACTTTAGAGAATTACAGATTTTCTCCATCCTTCCACCAGCAGGCCGTCCCTCAAGAACACGCAGACGAGCTCGCTGATGTTCAGATCTGTCAAACAACTGTATACCAGGGATTTCAAATCATTTTATATAATAGACAATGGAAGTCCGAACTAGTGAAATTCATCACGAAACATTGTCAATCACCTTCAAACAAACGTTTTCCCAATGTTCCTAAATCAAACGGTTTTCAAAATGTTATCATGTTACTTTCATTCAAGTTTCTTTTATTTGATTTTTGACGTGACATACTTTATTCTCCTATTGAAAACACTTTCCCAAAACCAGAACAAAAATACGGTCTCTCGACGGAGATCATCACGACCCATAATCATAACGATCTCCTGAGGACGTTAACTTGGTTAGCGAATCGCGCGTCGAAAGACCGTATTTTTCTTCTGGTATTGGGAAAGTGTTTTCAATAGATTCATTTCAAGCCAGAGGTTCCAGTACGAACTATCAAGATACTTTCCCCGTATTAAAAGTGTTTAGCTCTGAAAGTGCTATTCTATGATCAGTACCTCTATTAGAAAAATTTACTAAAATCTGATTATTGTACATATGGTATCTGTTACTCGTAAAACTGTACACAATGAATTGTGTGAAAGTTTTATTTTGTATATGGGGTTGTAAGCCGATTCATGCTCGCCGCCATAACTTTTTTTGTATATCCTGGTATCAATGTGGAATTCTACTGATTCTAATTCTATCACAATTTGGATTGATTGGACCAAAAATAATTTTTGTAGCATTTCCAGTGTTACAGGAAATTATTCTAACTTTGGAATTTCAAATGGAACACCCTGTATGTTTTTAATTTTTGGATTCGGCGGTTCATTTTACATACGAATGTTCTATTTTGGTGAAAATATACTGTGAAGTTTTTTTGTGAAAAAAAAATAAAAATACGTTTACGTGGCACTGAAAATTATTTGCTCAACTCTTATGATCTAGTGTGGAAATAAAATCAGTATTGCTTTTCCAACTATACACTTATTAATAATTTTTTGACAGATATTTCGAATATTAATTGCTCACAGTCAACAAAGAAAAAACAAACTATTTGCCATTCAGCTGTAATATTCGTGGTCTGCCTAATTTTGACAAACTGAACATTACATCGAATAATGAACAGTTCTCTATAGAGGAATGTAGGCTTTCACGGCTGGCGTCAATGTTTTGGTTGGTTTCTGGTTTTTGCCGTGCCGTCAACTGAAACGGTTGACACACGTCACTGAAGATGACTGTTGCAGTTGAAACGTTTGGAGATAATAACCAAAGAAGAACACAGCAAAACCCGGAAACCAACCAAAACAGTTCTCTATAGAACCTCTGAAAGTAATGAAATACTTAGGTACAATCGATTCCAATTTAAAATGGGAAAAAAAATTTGAGATGTATATTGTTTGAGTTCAAGAAACTCAAGTATAATCTACCTTTCAATCAAATGAAAACTTTACAGCACGTAATAGTCATATACGGTATGGAATTCTAGCATGACAAATACCCGGAAAGACAATTCATAAAAGTAATTTTTCAAATAATTATAGATATTCATCCGATTTATTATACTCTGAATTCAAAATCTTCGACTTCAAACAACTATACCTACTTCTTCCTCACGTTCATAAAATATCAAAGAATGAAAGATAACAATCAACTCCCAACCCTCAACTACAAATACCCGGAAAAAAATCAATATGTATCATCCTTGATGGTTAAAGCCACAATACAGAGAATGTTCAGCTAAGTAGCACCAAAACTGTACAACAAAATTCCTATCATAAAATTTAAATATTTGTGAAAAAATTGTTAATAAATGGGCCATGAAAAAAAACAGAACTACTGAATCTACTTCTACATTAGATCAGTGGTGGCAGCCTCCTAAGTATATTTTCACCAAAAAGGACATTCTTATGTGAAATGAACTGTATAAAAAATGCTACAAAAAAT